AAATCACTGCCAAACATCTCTGCAAGACAAACGTCACTTTATCGGCTTCTTTGTATCTTACCAATATAGAGGGCAAGGACTTGAGAGCAGGAACTGCTTTCTATGCATTTATATAGTGCGTACCACAGAAGGGTTCTGACATTTCGTAGGGCCTCTAGCTGCTGTTATACAAATATTTAAAAGATAACATTTTCAGATGCATGGAAAGAAATTTACATATCAATTATGGTTGAAAAACAATTCCAGTCATTTAAGGGCATCAGATTAATTTTTTAGATTTCTTACCTTTGCTACTAGTGTCTTGTGGAGTCAAGCATTATAGCTGCTACTGAGTTGGTCTTGGTGCAATAGAATTCACAACTGATTTTTAGAGGAACATTACAAACTAGTTATGTTATATAGTTACTAGTTATATAATGAAAAAGACAGGATGCCTGCAAGAAATAAGGGTCTTACGTTATTTATAAGATGTGAAATTAAAAAAAAAAGTCATTGTTCTGATTCTTTCCGAAATACAGAGAACCACATTAAAATGAAGATCCCCAGTACTACTATCAAGAACACTGCATTTTGTAGAATTTTTATTCTAAAATTTAAAAACAAATCTAAACAAGATAAATACAAAGAAGATTAATACCAGTCATACTTTTGAGGTAGTTAATTCACACTGCCTTCTTGTTTTAACTACACAACGCATGTTTGTGGTTACAATCACTAACTGGGACACACAGGCTGTTGAGGCTAGGGGTGAGATAAATTTAAAGATTAGGAAAAAGCAGCAACATTTCAGAACCATTTGAGTTCAAGTATTTTAACTAACACTTTCCATGTTATGCTAGCACAGAAATAGCTAATGACACTGTAGTTTAAATCACCATCTTTAGGTTTCTGAATTAAACCAGTTGATTTCACTGGATGGTTCTTGGAGCTATTGTTTCAAGCCATCTGTGGTTTAAGAAAAACATCTCCTCTTTTCACACTCAATACCTCGCTCAGCCTCACTTTTACACCTACAAGAGTATTTCACTACTATGAATTTAATACACCGTGGTGTTTTTTTAGTGCTAGAATCATTCAAATTATGTTTTTTACAGATAGACCATGAGGATACTTTAGACCAACAGCTCCAAAACTTTCTGAATCAGTAAGTACAGTTTGCCTCTTACTATGTTGGGGATCACCATCAAAATGGCAACTGAAAACACTGGCTTGTGAGTACCTGTGATGGCTCTGAAGACCATCCCCTGGGGATACCTCCTTTAGGCCAGTAAAACACCAAAATGTGTGTAAAACCTAATCCTTAGAATGACATTCACGGCTAGACATTCAAACAATAGTGAACTCAAAATTTGGTCAAGTATCCTCAAAACAGACGTTCTACCTGTAATATTCTTGAGTTGAATTTTGCAAATTGTCAGCTAATGTCTTTTATCACAAGGCATTTGCATTCTTCTAACTCTAATAAAAGTACAGTTGTATGATCATCTTTTATAACCTGTATCTGGGGGGGCAAATCTGTAGTTTTCAACCAGATCAGCAGCTTGGTCTGACTCACTCCAGAAGAGCACTAGTGCCAGCATGAGGGAAAGTCAGAAACATATTGCTAGGGAGGGGACTCTCTCAGTGGCATCACAGTCCTAGATGGATTTGAGCCAACTGTGGGGGGAAAAAAAAAAAAAAGGCTATTTTTTTAAACTATGATATGAGGCTTTCAGTTTACCGCCCAGGTCAGTCTGTTGCTTGGACACCCACCTGGCCATTGCAGGTAGCTTTCCGAGGGCCCCAAGCTCTCCCTTTGAGAAAGGTGAGATGCCTGATTATTCAGAGGTATCAGCAATCGGCAAGCTGGTGTCTATCACACAACAACAGGATATGAATGACTTGCTGCCAGATCTCGTCACAGATGCTGCTGGCCTCCAGCTGATATAAATCATCCTGCATAGCTCTCTATTACTTTATACTCTGGCAACGGTGTCATTTGAATGGTGCCTACCAGCTAGACAAAAAAGCAGCTCCCAACAAAACACACACACTGCCAATGTGTTTTATGGCAACATCTACGGTTTTCTGAACTGAAACTGTGGACTTTCCAGCAAGTTACATCAGTGCTGCTTTTATGGTTTAATGTTAATGCATGGCCAACAGCACAGAAATGTCTAAATATTGCCCAAAGTGCTTTCCCATTTTCAGTGATACTTAAGAATTGCCAAAAACAATTACGAATTTAGTTATACGAACTACCGCCTGGCAGAAACCCAGCCTTCTGACAGAGAGGTACAGCAGAGGCCCCTAACAGTATCTGTATGTGGCCTAAAACTTCTCAGGATTTTACTGACGGTATCACACAGTTCTTGCCAAATGGTTTTTAGCTCATCACTTCATATGAACACTACACTGTAGTTCTCAGCAACCCATTAAATTCAAGTTTAAAAAAATGAAAAGCAATTCTCAATGCAAATAAACTGTGAAGTATATTTGAAAAGCAATGTATCAGTTACATTTTATGATCTTCTAGCAATAACTATCACACTAACAATATGACATTGGGGACACTGAGAATATTCAAACTCAATAGTCTAGCCTCAAGACTACAGTAAGGTTTAATAAGACTATAAAGTCATTATGTGGAGTTCCATTTAACACAGTTTCACTTGACATGAATCAACGATGGAATTATTTTAAAGAGCTACAGATGAGATTCTCTGCTAGCATACACTGACATAGTTCCATGGACCGAACCCATCTATGAATTCTCATAAATGCCCTGTAAGTAAAAAGAACCCGTTTATTAGATTAAATACAATATTGGACATTTCACTTCAAAATAAAATAAAAGGAAGCCTTACCTCAAATACATTAAAAATGTAACAGACTGTAAGAGTGTCAAACGTGTTTAATCTCACCTTGTTTATGTAGGTTAATTTGATGATATCCTCTACACAACAAACAGCTGGAAACAAAGCCACTGAAGTGTTTAAACAACCAAGCAATCTCCTCACACACACTCCCTGCTTCCCCAAAATCAATCACTCTAAGCAGGTTTTAAATTAAGTTAGATTATAAATTTGTTTCAGGGTTTCCCTTCACAGCAAGCACAATGGAAATGCACATGCACTTAAAAAATTCTGTGTGTGGTGACGAGGACCAAAAAGAGCAAATGGCCAAGCTGGGGAGGCAAGTTAATTAGCTTTACTGCAGGGGGAGGGGAGAAGGAGGCGGTGTTTATACCAGCAAAGTCAGGGAAGAGGACAGTTTTCATTTGTTTTAGCTTTAAGTCAAATGGACTTCTAAACCATCGACCCAGAGACATGAATACATGTCTGACTGCATGTTTGGGAGGCAGAGGAAAAAGGAGAAGATTGGCAGCGAGGATGCTCCCAGCCAGGAACAAACACGGTTTTGCTTTACAAAGGCCATGAATACCCAGTTGTGCAGAACTCGGCGCTCCGCACAGCAGCGCGCAGGAGACAAGCCCCAAACTCCCGGCAGGACAAAGGCCAAAGGGAAAGCGGCTCCAGCCTCCGAACGGGACGCTTCTGCGTAAAGTATCCCGAGCTCTTCTGCAGTCTCCCCTCCTGCAAGCACTTACCCAGCTCGGACTTGACTGTGGTACAGCTGTAATTAAAAAAGAAAAAGGGGAAAAAAAAATCTGTGCAGTTCATGTTACTTTCAGCAAGCAGGTTTTGGTTCTCTCAATCTGACTCTTCACAGTTGCTTTGCAAGTTTCAACCCTCCCCTCTTTCTGTCCCCAAATACCATCTCTTTATAGGGGAGTTTGGTCCTACAGCTTATTATAACTTGATTTTTTTTTTATGCTAGCCATTGTTTAATTACTACTTTGAAGTCAATTTAGCAGGAAAAAAAAAAAAAAGTAGTTTGAGGTGGCGTTTTGCATCCCACCAAGCTATTCAGCAGGGCATTCATCCTGGATACAAAACTGGGTTGAAGCTTTAGAAGTTGAATGGATCACTCCAGTAGAGATTTAATTTCCATGAAATTCCTCCATGAAAATCCACTCACTTCTCTTACATCTGACAGACAAGCAAAGACTAGCCAATACCTTTGAAATGAGTCATTTTCAGATGTACTCCAACCATTTTTGCTCTTCTCTACGTAAATATGAATTGCTGGGGCTCAGAGAGGCGGATTTTCAAACAGCTGCTCATCTCTTCTCAAAGCCCAGGAGGGGGAAGGGAAAAAAAAAAAAAGGAAGAAGAAAGAAAGAAAAAAAGCAAAGTGTATATTTCCAGTATTTCCAGGGTAAATATATGAGGTCCTCGATGACTAAACTTAGGCCAGTTACAGACATTAGCCCCAAAGCTTTCTGTTTGCAAGTTCCTCCTGCTACAGGTCATGCGGAAGAGCAATCTTCTCAAATACAAAAATGATGCCATATCAGAAGGCGCCTGTCTCACCACATGCCCTCAGGAAGGCACCACACAGGAAGAGAACAACAACAACAACAAACTTACTTTTTACATTCTATATTAAAATCCAGTGATGTAAAATCTACCAAATGCGGTATTTCACTTCTCTGGGTGCCTACAGAGAGTACGCTGTTACCCGAAACATGGACGACCCTAACATGGGAGGATGTTTTAGGTTGTTGCAGGCTGCATTGCAAATATTTTAGTACTTTAAAGCGTGGCCCCATTTCGGGCGCGCCCTCCATTTTGTGGCGGCGGCGGCGCAGCACCCCCTGCTGGGCGCGCGCGGGGCTGCCCCGGCCCTTGTGTGACCGGCACGGGGGCACCGTGCTGGGTGCTTGATTTTTATAATTATTATTTTTCCCATTATGACGCGGCTTTTAATAGGAATATGGAGTTTGAGTTACAGACTCCCAACTGTTGCGCACTCGGATTTGGTTTGTTGGGCATTTGGCCTCACAGTGAGGAGGAGGCGCCTCCGCGCCGAGGCGGCAGCTCCCCAGCAGCTGGTGTGAGGCACCCGGTTTGCCAAGGCGCTCTCCAGGGCAAGGGAGCGTGGAAAGGCCGCGGCACCCGCTCCCAGGGGATGCTCCCACGCAAAATAAGGCAGCTCTCCCACAGCCAAAGCTTTTCCTGGTGCTGTTTCACCATTACGCAAAAAATCAAAAAGTCTCTGTTAAAGTCACCGTTAAAAGTCGAAAAGTTCCACGTTTCATTAAACCAAAAATGGATTTTAAAGGTACAAACTTGAATCAATTGGCAAAAGTGGCTTTTTTTAAAATATATATAATATCTACCCTGAAGTAATCAAATATATGATCTGGCGGTTGGGCCAAAAACATTTCCTGAGTTATTTCTAAAACTTTAATAAACCTACCATGCAAGACAGGTTCAGCATTGTGTCCCCTTTTAAGGCTTTCAGTTCACTCCTTATTTTCCTGGTCCTGAGTCATAACACATACTCAGCATTTCTTTGGAAGCCCTGTATCCAAGCTAATGTTGCCGCTTCGGCTTCTTCAAGTCCTGTTGTAAATCTTTGTTCTTTAGATTTAAATTAAGAGTTTCTTCTCTTGCCTGGGGCAACTCTTCATTTAATTGTCTTAAGTTTGCTGATTTTTCATGTTAAGTCTTCTTTTAAACCTTGAAGCAAACCTTTTTTTCTTTTCCTTTTTTTTTTTAAAAGCTTGCCCTTTGACTCTGCTTTAACTGGATAGTTTTGCAGTGAACGTAATTCTTGGAATTTTAACAGTTCTCGTCCAGCGTTTTCAAAGTCTACCTCTAATGTTTTTTCTGTTTAGTTTTGAGTTCCACTGACCGTGCACTCAAGAAAGAGATGAAATTTCAGAGAAACTGGTTCCAAATGGTCCTTGTGCATTTCTTGTTGCAAAGCTGCTAATTCCTTTGCATTCCAGGCACAATGACCCTCTGTTTCCTTTAAGCTTTCCAACATCTAAATTACCAGCCCCACAGCAGGCAGAATCCCCTTCTGTTTCCTCCTTTGAAATGTTTATCTTTGCACCTACCAACTTAGGTTCATATTCTCAAACAATGAGTTTGCGAAAACATTCTTTCCTTTGGAGCCTCTCTTTCTTCTAAATATTTTGTAATTGCCATATTGTAGATTTTTTCCCCACTCTTTGCTCTCTCTAAAGCCAGTTTTTCAGACATCACTGATTCAGGTTGATTGGCCTGACTGAAGAAAAGAGTTCTGTGCACTGAAATTAGGAGAAAATAATTTCTTTTCTGTGTTTTCTCACCACTTGTTTGTTTCCTGTCAAAGAAAAAAAAATGTTAAAACAATACACTTAAACTTTGATATGAATGCTAAATATGTTTTTTGTAAAAAGACTTAAAGCTTTTAATATGTTTCTTCAGGTTAGCAATTCTCATTTAGGCTTGTAGTGGAAAATACACAGTTTATTCAGTATAATCAAGGGTATTAGCAAAGTTGCAGCTGAATACTCTGCGCAGGAGCTAAACTGTATTTTAGCTGATGCTATAATATGAAGCTGCTTTGTTAGAAGAACCAGTTTGCATCTATAGTTTGTAAAGCCAAAGAAATGTGTATAGCTCATGTACAGGACAAATCTTTTTAAATAGAGGTTTTATAGTACCTGCATTTGAATATGTTTATGTTTATGGAATAAGGACTACAAACCATATTTATGGTAACCTGGCTTCTTTGTTTCATCACATCACCGCTCAAACTCCTCAAAAGTGCTTACTTTGTTTTAACATTCACCCAGGGATCGCAGTGTATGAGACACTGCTGCGCTCTAAGTGCTAGGTGTTGTCAAGAATTGTGGAGGTGTCAGACCTTATTATGGTGAATTACTGGAGAGCTGTACGTGGTAGAGACAGGCAACATACACCCTGCCTCTGGTAACCCTGAAAATTGCCCTTTAATCCTGACCTACAGGATTCCTGATATTCCAGGCACAGTCCATTCTTTGCATATAGACTGAGCAGAGACACATTTATGCAGAATCATGTAAGTTTTGCTAGAGAAACTGTGGTAAGAATTTAATGGTATCTGCAACACATATTGCTAAAAACTAAATCAGGCTTTGAATCAAAATCTATAGATATGAAAAATTTAGAGTAGCCGATTATTTCTGTTCACCTGGAAGTTTTTGTGCAGGTGTGTTTCATTGCACTGTATTTACTGAACTGAAAGGATGAAGCTCAGCTTACTTTGATGTTCTAACAGTTAAAATTCCGTCCTAATTTACATAAAAATCCCAAAGGAACAACAGCATGAGTTGAAGGGATTGTGATAAAAGTTTGGCTGTTAGGACTGGATAGCTTAAGTATCATTTACAATTTTAGGAGTAGAAACATAAACTGGATACGAAGAAGATCCTTGATAGAGGGGTTCTACTAATAGGTGAAGAAAAATAATTTCTAAATAATAATGAAAATGATAATATTTTATTTAACCAAAATCAACCAACTGGACAGTTAGTTCAGAGATGCTTTATGGTACGTCAAGGATGATTCACACTTAGTCTGAGTAAAAATAAGTTGAAATACAACTACTCCAGGAAGCTTGACTTTTAGCTTGACTTCCACACCAACTTCTCACTGCCATTAGAGGCATAATAGGGTGACTAGAAGGAGGTTTAAAGTCCTAAATTTGGACAGGAATGGCCCCTGTTCAGGCTGGGGTAATATTATACCGGTGCCCAGGGGGTCCCTCGACTTTGTGTTAGCAAATCCTCAGACCATCCACCATCCGTATCATAGAAATAAGAAAGAAGGGCTTGAAAACAAGGCAGATACATGTCAAGGCTACTTTACTCGCCCAGTACTCACGTTTCTGTAATTCCTTAGGCTCTCGTGTATTTAGGGCTGAGCATGAGGTAGTTTTAAGTGGTTTTAGCCACCCTACACTCAGCTGAGAACTATGGAGCTGTGAGCAAGAAAGAGTGGGAAAAGGCATGGGCAGCAAAGCGGCCTCCGTTCAACCTGGGGGCTTGGGATCTCCTGACTGTGGCCATTTATCTGGGGTGTGTAACACAGGTAAATTAAATCAGGTGCCTGTTTAGCTCATCTCTTTTTCTATTTTCACAAGCCTCATCTCAATTACAGATTTTACATGTGTTTAAACCTCAATTTTGGGCCCTCCCATTAAACCCCTATTTTTTTGCCAATTAATGTTAAAGTGGCTCCTCCAGGGTTGCAAGTCCCATGCAGGCGATGTAGGACCTGGCCGGTTGCATTAGTTCTCCAGCAACAACATGCTGATGCTGCCAACTCCGCAGCTGCTCCGATTGCAGCCTTAATCCCTGGGACTGGCAGCCTGTGCTCCTTGGCTTGCCCTGCAAGGGGTTTTCCTACCTCTGAGCCAAACTGGTGACTAAGGAGGGCAGGAGAGGAGGGAAGGAGACACTGGAGCTTCCTGCTCAGCCTGGTCTCAGAGGAAGTCGTGATTTCCTGCAGCTCGGGGCACAGAACACTAACGCCAGCTGCACAGTTGCTTCAAGAAAGATCCCTGCAAGGGCAAAGCTGGGTAGGACCGAGCAAGGCAGGAAACCACAGCACCAATCCTACAGAAAATCATCAATCCACCATGAATGGCATCTGTGCACGTGCCGTCGTGATGGGCATTGACATTGCAACAGCATGGGCTACTTCCAATCAGTAAATATGTATTTCGGGAGTCTCTTCTTCCAGTCTAACGCAATCATGTTGCAGAAAGGAATTCCGAGATCCGGACCTCTCACACAGCCAAGAACTTTTGTGACTGAGGTAAATTTGACCTAACTTAAAGAAGAGAGGAGCACTCTGGTAGGTTTATTCATCTTTTGCATCATTTTCTTCATTTTTCTCACTCCTGCCCTCACATGATCTGTCTGTTTAAATGCTTTCCCCTCCATATTTCCTCTTTTCCTAAAAACATTTGCCAAGTGTATACAGGCAGGGAACAGAGAGTTTGCTTTTTGAAAACATTTTTCTCACTCCTGCCCTCACATGCTCTCTCCATTTAAATGCTTTCCCCTCCATATTTCCTCTTTTCCTAAAAACATTTGCCAAGTGTATACAGGCAGGGAACAGAGAGTTTGCTTTTTGAAAAAGCTGTTGGATTTTATGAGCATGCACTGGCCAAAAAAAAAAAAAAAGAAATAAAAGGAAAAAAAAAGAAAGAAATAGAGCCCACTTCAAACAACAGAAATGTATTCCAAACTGTTTTGAACAATTTATTCTGTTTAGTATCTTTACTAGCAACAGAACAGAGATTCCAACAATAAAAAGATAAAGCTACAAAACAGTAACTGATAAATTCAGTATCCAATGGATTGACATCCCCTATAGCCTGCTGCAAGAGCAGGTGATTCGGTGAGCTGCTTTTCCCATTCTGCACTGCCAGGTTGCCACTGGCCTCACACTGGCCCCCAAAATCATCTTTCGTACCTCACGTACCTCACCATGTGCTCTGCCTCCTGGTATGGGGATGGAGGAGCTCCTTGTGGATGGATGTCTGCAGAACCAGCTCATCAGCCACCTCCAAAAACCTCCTAAAAACTTTGAGGAGAAAATTCTGTAATGTGACGTTACAATAGATGAAGCTGGCATGAATGCCTGAGCGGAATGGAAAATTGTTTGCTGCTCAGGTCCCTGAGAAAATTTCCTGGAGAGAAATCCGACCCACTCACTAATTTTACTGCTTAGTTTTTCACAATTCTGAAAATTCCACAAGAATCTTCTCAGGTTTTTGATGTCAAAAGATTGAGAATTATCACCAAGGGAAGGGAGCATTAAAAAGCATTCACTATAACTAATAAAAATTGCTTGAATCAGAACCAATTTCTCCTGCAGCTTTAGGTGGTGCATGACACAAGTTCATCCCACATAAAATGCATGAGGTTCTAAATTATCAAGTCGCAGCCTTTCAAGACATAGTTAGGAAGCATTTTTGAGCATTATGGTATAACCACTTCTTTTGAAATTTCCTGGGGGACTAAATATATTCAAATATTAAAGAGTGCAGATTATGATGAATTTTGCTGTAGATATTAGACACCAGACAGAGAAAAAAATGTGTTTTGGATAATATTGCAGAAGAATCACATGCAATTCAAAAACATCTCGAACACCTTTTATTATAATTTGCATGTTAAAATCATCTTACAATGACGACCTTTGGGAATCTAAGCTGCACTTACCTGCAGTAGAATATCTTAATTATATCTGGAAAAGTATTTGGAAAGCAGATAGAGAGGAAGATGAGATGCAGAAAACAAGGATGCTAGATGACTGGAGACTGTTGCTGTTCTTAATCTGTTGGAGATACTTGGACAAACGCTCCAAGTGTCTGGGAACGACATATTTGGATGCTGTTTGTCTTCAGGTTTTGTCCTTATCCGCAAGAATTGAAGCTTACTGCATGATGCGCCAGGTTCATCTCAGCAGAGAGAGCTGCTTGGGGAATTACGTTGTGCAAACAACACTGAAAAGTGCAATAGGGGTATGGAGGAGGACTGTGTCCATAAAGGCATTTCTTTTTTTTTTCTTTTTTCCTACTGGAAACGGTTTGGAGAAGTAGTTCTGTGCTTGGAAAGCACCCCTCATCTGACCTCACATGAGACCTGCAAAGAGAAGGGCTGTGATGGGTTTCTGATTGGACTTGATGATCTTAAAGGTCTTTCCCAACTATCATAATTATATGATTCTATGATTCTGTATGTTCCTAGATTTCCCAGTAGGAAGGGAGGTGAGAAGCTGTATGTAAAGAAATTCCTTTGACTCCTTTTTCTAAAGACTCAGTTGGTAGGTGCGTAACCCCGAGACCAACCAGAGCCGTTGTGGGGTCTCCGTGCCTTGGTGCTGTGATTTCAGCGGGCTGCAGCGGTACAGAGCCCGGGAGATGGCCGTGCTCCGGTACAGAGCCCGGGAGATGGCCCTGCTCCAGTACAGAGCCCCGGAGATATCCGTGCTCCGGTACAGAGCCCGGGAGATGGCCGTGCTCCGGTACAGA